CCCCGTTGTCTGCCCTCCTCCCATACTGTCTCTATGGGGTTGTCAGAAAAGTCATGATGTATTTTCTGGTTTTCTTTATGAAAAACGCATCACGGCTTTTCCAGCAACCCAGAAGTGGCACACTTGCTCTCCCTGCTTCGGTACCTTCGGGTCTTTTGGTCTCTGCCGTGGAGCACAGGCGCTCGGTGTGGACTGCACAGGGACTTGCGATGCCTCTCAGCCTGGCTCGCTTCACTGGCAGTAAATCTTCCGCATTTGTCTGCTCTCTGTCAAATGCCAGGTTCTTGTGATCCAGCGATTCCACTCCTGGCTCTCTCCCCAAAAGACGGGAAAACACTTCAGTCAGAAAATCACTTTCACATCCACGTTTATTACAGCATTATTCACAGCTTCTGTAACATCCATGGAATCAACGCAAATGCCCAAGAACAGATGACAGGACTGAAAAGTGTGGCACGTGCACTCCATGGAGTACTACTCAGCCCTGAAAACAGCATCCATTTTTAAAAATCAATGCCTCTTGCTTATTTTTCTAAAATATTTCCTATACAGGTTCTAGAAAATTCACCAAAAGACCATTCCTCATAGTTTATCATTTGTGCCAGTGAGAAAGATGAGAGAGGGAATCTGTTGTTTATTTAGCGTTTACCGAATGCTAGCCAATTCTAACTTATCATCGCAGCAAGTACTGGATAGAAAGAGGGAAGGTAGGGCAGAGGAGATGCCAGGTCGGGATTCTCTGGTTCCGGAGGGACCGGATGGACAGTGGGATGCATGTCTGTATGTGAGCATGTCCTTTCTGTAAACGTCTCCGAGGACACGGAGGAAGAGCCAGGGGGGCTGTGGGCCTGCATGGTGGGAGACCAGAACACACACCTTGCCGAAGCCACCTCCTCTCTTCCCAGGCAGTGGTCTTTGATGTGCCAGCATCTGCCCAGGGGTGACTGAGAACCACGTCAGGTACGCAACAGGGTCGTGACCTTCAGAACGAGGTGGCTCCCAGCAGCTAAGGGTGGTTCTGCAGCGAAGGACAACCCGATGGTGGAGGTCCCTGCGTCCTGGGGTAGGCGTGCGGCTTCATCCAGGACCTCATGCGTCAGAGGACCCAGCCGAGATTCAGATCCAGCTCTCGCCGTTTTCTGATGCCTTTTTCCTGTGGCATCACGTTCCTCTCCAGAGCCTCGGCATTTCGGGGGGGAAAAGGGCAGCGCCACAGCGGGGAGCCGGAGGGCCAGGGAGCAGCTGCCTCGGTGCAATGCCTGCCGAGGGGACTGCGGTTTCTCCAGGACTGGTCCAGGCTTAGTAACCAGAGGCCGTGCCCGAGGCTCACCAACTGCACCACCATGGTCCTACAGTTCCGGAGGCGGGGGTCCGCAGTCGGGACAGCGGGCACAGGTCTGGGTCCAGGCCTCTCTGGGCTGCAAACTGCTGGCTTCGTATAGTATCTTTATGGGGTGGAGACGGAGGGATTTGGGGGTCCCTTTCATGAGGCTCCGCCCTCGTGACCTTATCCCCTCCCAAAGGCCCCACCTGCTAACATTGTTTTCTGCGAGGTTAGGGTTTCAGCAGATGCAGTTGGAAGGGCTGAGGGCCTAAAGTCCCAGGCCCTGCCAGCGAGGCGAGGTCATGATCCCCACTTGCAGACAGCACTGAGAGCGGGAAAGCAGTGCGCCCGGAGCTGGAGCTCAGGTGGCAGCGTCCACCATGGCCCCGAGGCGTTCTGTCGGACTTACCGTCTGATGCAGGGGCTGCAGGCCAAGGGTTCCCTGGCCTGGGAAGGGGCCTGACACCCACTCTCTGCCATCCCTGTGTCCTGAGGGGGGTTGGAGGGTATGCAGAGACCAAGGTCCTCTCTACCTGATCACTGAGCAAGCTGGGGCAGGGGTGGCTTTAGGGCTGGAGGGTTTATAAACAAGTGGCCCAGTCCCAGCGGGAAACCCCCTCTCCATTTCTCTGTCACCTCGAGCTGAACATACAATGCAGCAGGACAGCACACCCGCAGTGGCGCTCTGCGGGAGGTGGAGAAACAGACCTTCGGCATCAGTCCCCGCAGGCCTGGCACATCCTGGGAACGGATTTCACTACGTGGTGCCCTCTGTCCCCCAGGAGAAAAACCTACTAGGCTGCTGTTCTCTGGTGATAAATTAATATGTGCTCACCGTAGGTCATTTGAACAGACGAGAATAATAAAACAATGCTGATTCCCCTACTCCGATCTGAGGATGGTAACAGCGCTATGTAGCTTTCTAGTCTTCACTTCTGGGCTCATACACACGGCTCTGCCATCTACAGACAGGTAATTACGAATTTCGCCCTCTCACTAAACAATAGGCCATGAGGCATCTTGTTAATCGCTCTTTATAAACGCGATTCCAGTGTCCGTGTAACCGTCTGAGCCACGGATCTGTAACGGGTCCTTTCTCTTTTTCTCATCCTATTAGAATTTCATACTCATT